CTGACACTATAATGGTGGATACATGTCATTATGAATTTGTCAAAATTCATAGAACTGTATAACAAAAGGAGTAAACCTTCATGAAATTACGGACTCTAGTTAATGTACCAAGACCAGGCATGGTGGCAGGTGCCTATAGTTCTAGCTACTTAGGACGCTGACACAGAGGCAGATCCTTGAACCCAAGACTTCAAGGGTGCGGTGAGCTATAATCATACCACTGCACTCTAGCCTGGGAGACTTTCTCTTTATATATGGTTTATTAATTGTAGTATATATATTATTCTAATGTAGATGCTAATAACAGGCAAACTCTCCATAGTGGCAGATGGGTATATGGAACTCGTCATACTGAATGCTCAATTTTTCTATCAATTTAAAACTGTATTAAAAAGTAATCTATCCATTATAATTTTAAAAAAGCAGGCTATAAAATAATCCATGTTGTATGGTCTTATGTGATTATGTACATAAAAATATTCTAGGCACTGTGGCTCATGACTATATTCCTAGCACTTTGGAAGCCAAGGTGGGAAGAGTGCTTGAGCCTAGGAGTTGGAGACCAGCCTGGGCAATGAATAGACCCCATCTGTACTAACAATAAAAATCTGGGCAGGCATGATAGCATGCCTGTAGTTGTAGCTCCTCAGGAGGCTGAGCTAGAAGGTTTACTTGAGCTCAGTTTGAGGCTACAGTAACCCCCTCCCCCGAAAAACAAATAAAATTCTGGAAGGTCATAACCAGTTAATTAGCTAACAATTTTTAAAAAACTCTTTAATTATCCAGCTCAACAGTAGTAATACTTAGCCACAGAGAAAAATTTAAAAATGAGAGGAAAGAGAATATGTGGAAAATATTAGGTTTGGTTTCAAGAATGGATCTATTAAAGGAAAAGATAAAAGTTGGCAAACACCGACAAGCTCTGCTATTTCAGAGTACAGATTATCTGACATAATGGTACTTGAAAAGTGTCACACCATTTTTTGGCCAACTTTTCTTTTTCAGTTTAGTAATGACTTTTCTCACAGAACACTCTAAATTTATTGGCTATAACAAATGACATTTGGATGTTTTGGTTTTAGGCAGACACTTCAATTTAACTGACACCAGTTTCTAGTCAGAGAATACCATATGGAACAAATTTAAATTGCATACCGTATTTAGACGAACACAGAATGTTTTGGCTTCCATAAGTATCCCAAGTGAGAGGGACAAAGAAGCACCTGCTGTGACCCTGCTGCGCACAAGCCCTAATTTCACGTGTTTCGAGGTGCTCACCTTTACCTTTCATTTAGCTCTGAAGATTTGTTACTACTTTATTTTTTAAGTACAATTTGAGTACAAAACAGCCATGAACTCATCAAACTCTCTTTAGGGATGGTTTGCTTCACCAACCATACAATTTTGGCCAATGAGAAGATTACGAATGCTCTGAATCACCATATCCCGAGAAATCCTCAGGAGACTGAGAACTCAGAAATGGATAAAGCACAGTGGATGGAGAATCAAATGGGTTCTGCATGACTGTTACCTAGCACAACCACACAGCACTGCTAGCGGAGCGGAAGGGGCGGGCAAGGGAGCCAGGAATGATTAACCCTCCAAGAAATTACAGTCTGACAGATTTTTAAAGAGTCTTTTATGCCATAAAAAGAAAAAATTAGGAAGTAACAGTACTGGCTAATTCTCAAGGAAAAGACAATCATGAAGTGCATTTAATTCTGACAGTGAACGCATAAAAGTCCATCACCTGCCTCCAGCAAAACGTGCCTCCCCACTCTTCTCCAACCCACACCCAGGACGGTTTATCTTCTTTTCCTCCTCTGGCAAGTGTAATAAACCTGCTCACATACTTACATAGTAACTAGGCTTAGAAACTCGCTTTTATTTTTCAACTGGTATACAGTATTTGGATCCACACCGCATTTCTCCCACTATTCTACATTCTTTGCAAATACTCCTCTAAACCTCACACTAACCCCCTGAATTGTGTACTCTTATCACCACCATTTAAAGAATGAGGAACCTGCGGTGTCGACACCAGGTAACTTGCCCAGTCACACAGCCAGTAAGCGGCAAGTCAATCTCCAACAGCTGGGCAGTTTGGCACCAGCGTCTGTCGTTTATAACAGTGCCACACTCTGCCACCTTACTTTTTTTACATTTACCAGTAAATACCTGCTGTCATGATTTCAGATGACAACCTGCCTTTTCTCTCTTTTTTTCAGTAAACACTGTTTAATTTGTGACTGTTGGTATCTTGTTACAAACCAGTTATATAGAACAATACAAAAAGAGACCCTTTTTCTTAAACTTTTAATTTCCATTTTTTTAATGCAACTTTTTAAAAAATAAGTTTAATTTCCAAATACTTATGCTATTTTGATGATACTCTAAACAAGTATTAAAGTAACTTCATCAAGGCTTTCATCAAGACTAATGTTCACTTTGTTAGTATGCAAACATCCCTTCGGGGCGGGGGACACTATTATACTAACAGATTGCACTTTTAAAAGCTTTCAATAATCAAAACAGAGCCAAAGAAATGCCTCTTCACAGTTCAGTGAGGGCAAAGGCAGTTTTCTCCCATTCCAAATGAATTCTGTGGAGTGTGAAACATTAAGGTTTTAACTTCTGAATTCAGAAGGCAATAAGAAAGAGCAGAAAAGGTAGGAAAGATAGTAAGCACCAAGAGCAATGGAATATGTGAAAAGACAGAATAAGCTTTCCACAGTGGAACACTGATGTCTGACCATTTAAAACCAGTATTCCAAAGGAATTAAGGTCAGGACTATGACCTTTATCTGCTATAGAGGTTTTAATTTTGGCTTCTAACAGTGGTTTGTCTCAGACTAAGAGCTCTTATTCAACATGATCCTTTAATAAAGATTTTTTTTGGTAGAGACAGAGTCTCACTTTATGGCTCTTGGTAGAGTGCCGTGGCATCACGCAGCTCACAGCAACCTCAAACTCTGGGTTTAAGCGACTCTCTTGCCTCAGCCTCCTGAGTAGCTGGGACTACAGATGCCCACCACAACGCCCGGCTATTTTTTTGTCGCAGTTTGACTGGGGCCCGGTTTGAACCGGCCACCCTCGGTATACAGGCGCCACCTTAAAAAAATCTTTAAATTATCTTACAGGTGTTTTTGTAAAAAGATTATTTCTAGAAATTTATGTAAAATATCTTGTCTTTGTTTCGGAAACTCTACCTTTTAAGGAACAACTTGAATAATACTTTACAGTTCTAACAATACTAACAGGTTGGGCTTATGTCTCTATAATCTCAGCACTGTGAGAGTCTGAGGAGGGAAGATCACTAGAGCACAAGAGTTTGGCACCAAACTGGGCAACAGAGCAAGACCCCGTCTCTGTAAAAAAAAATAAAAATACTGACAGATAACAGTGATGCACAGCAGGAGGGGACCACTGCCCACCAAGAAGTACCCCAGGAAGCTCTGGGAGACCCTATTACTTGTTCACCACCACATTTCAGCACTTTCCTTAGCATTAAAGGGTGCAGGGCAGGCACCCAGCAGAAGTCTACTGAGTGATTAACCAACGGGACCACGTGCACAATGGAGAATTAAACTAGAAAATGACTTAATTTAATAAATATTCTTGTATACTGACATACATTCTTTGCTTAATGAAAAACGATTTCATCGGCAGCGCCTGTGGCTCAAAGGAGTAGGGCGCTGGCCGCATATGCCAGAGGTGGCGGGTTCAAACCCAGGCCCGGCCAAAAAAAAAAAACCTGCAAAAAAAAAAAAAGAAAAGAAAAGAAAAGAAAAACGATTTCAATTAATACTTTAAAGTCCCTTCACGAAAATTAGGATGCAAAAATCTAGTTTAGTTCGTAGCTTCTTAGAATTCGCCCATAATGTAAAACCAGAGAAGAGCAAACACACAACCTATAACTTTGCACCGTGTAAAATTCTTCCAATACTATGAAGCTTCAAAACATTTCATCCTATTACAGAATATCATCCACAACCCAATTTTTACCTGCCCACTCCTAGGCCTTTTAATATTCATCTTCACCCAGGCCTGCCAACTAATGTTTAAAATTGTCAAAACTTGTAGCACCCTTTACTCGCAGGGCAGTTAATACCGCCCCCTTAAAGCCTATCTATCTCCTCCTCAGGACGCTGGGACAACTTCATGACCTTGCAGGGTTCCTGCTTCAGCACCAGTACTTGAAATAGTGCAGGGTGTCGTTCCTTTCTTCGCTAACACATCTCTAAGGTCCCTTCTACACCTGACGACCATCAGCGCAGAGGACATTTATTTTGTTCGCCTTCGCTTCTCTAGTGCCCCCCTCAAGGACATAAAGCACAGCTCGGACCTAGTGGTTTTTTCTCAGGTTCCCCCTGCCACCTTGCCGGCCCTGCTGAAGACTCCCCGAGCCCTGGTGCCTTGCTCGTCGCCGAAGCTCTGGGAGCAATTTATTGGCTGAACGAATCCAAGGCCGCCCAGACATGACTTCGGTCTGAAGTCACAGTCCCAAGGGCCAAGATGACCCAGCCTCAGGGGACGTGGCGTGACCTTGCTCCGCCGGAGCCCAGCCCGACCCCAGCGCGCGCCCTTCCGGCCTCGGAGCAGGTTCCCGCATCGCGGCTGCCTCGGGCCTCTGCAGGGCGACGGGCCTGATGCGGACCCACCGCCACGAACCTACCCTGTGCGTCCCCGGGCCCGTCCCTCCACCCATCAGACCTAGCCCTTCCTTCCCTTGCAAACCTCCCGCTCCGCCCGCAAGCTGCCATACCATTGTGGCTGCACGGCCCAGGCCGAGAGCCCCACGACGCCCGTCCTAGAAAACATGGTGCTAGCAGCCGGGCTGAAGGTCGGGCACAGGCCTCCCTGCGCATGCGCCGAAGCTTCCCAGCGCGCCCCTCCCACTTCGCTTTCTTCTTCTGTCTCGTTTCCTCGCGCCAACCCAGGTAAGTATCGCGATTCTTGGAACTCAGCTTTCCCAGGCCCCTCTCCTTCCGCCTCCGCGGTGGTATTTGTCCCGCCCACACCCGCCGGCCCAGTTCCGCTTCCGGTTAGCAGGGCGGTGGACTCCGGAGAGTGGTTACTGTGGTGGTCGCGATGGGAAAGTCAGATTTTCTTACTCCCAAGGCTATTGCCAACAGGATTAAATCCAAGGGACTTCAGAAGCTGCGCTGGTATTGCCAGATGTGTCAGAAGCAGTGCCGGGACGAGGTAAGTGGGCCCGCGATGGCCCCATCCCCTAGGAGGGCCCCGGTGGGAATCCAGGTTCTAGTCCCTGACTAGGGGGCTCAGGGCGCGGATCTCGGGTTCCAGGTCTTGAGGCTTCTGGGGTCTGCAGCGGGCAAGTCCACTACTCAACAGTAGAGACGTCCTTCTCTACAGTCCTGTCCTAGCGACTACCTCTGGTCTTTGACACCTCCTTCCTCCCAACTTGCCCCACCCCCAGGATGGGGGTCAGAAAAGGTTTTACAGCCTCCTGGGGGCGCGAGTAGTGCAGTGCACATCCAGACGGCGACAGTCGTCATCAGTGACTTGTCTTGGCTCTTAGGAGAATCGCAATGATTAGGATACACACCCCTTTTGAGAAAAAGGAAAATGAGGTTGTTCCACAATACTTAGCTAACAAGCATTTAATGAGCACCTACAATGTACCAGGCCCAGAATGATGTGGTGGTTAAGATTATAGATTTATCTCGAGTCAGACTGTCAAAATTAGGAAGTCGAATCGCGCCACTTATTACTAGCTGTGTGTTCTCGGGCAAGTTGTTATTGCTTACATTCCTTTTGCTTGTTTACTTATCTGTAAAGTGGGAATAATAATTGTGCCTACTTGTAGGATTGTCGTTGAGTTTGACATGAGTGAAGCAGATGTAAACTGGCTCAAGGGATCTGTGGGCAGATCTTGAAGACCTAGTATGCTGTGCTGTGGAGCTACACTTTTCTCCATTAAAGAGGTGGAAGATGAACGCTGTTGAAATGAGAGCAGGCCAGTCATGTGATCATATTTTCCCCTGGAGAATGTATCTGCTAGGGGTGAAAGAACATTGAGGAAATTGGACTAGTCATTGCCTAATGTCTTAGTGGCTTAGATTGCTATAACCGAATATCATAAGACTGGGTGATTTAATTGACAAACTTTATTTCTAAATATTTCTGGAGGCTGAGAAGCCATCGGAACTGGCCTGGTCAAATTCTGGGGAAGCCCCTTTTCCTGGTTTGCAGAAAGCTGCCTTCTGTGTCCTCAGGAGGTGGAAGGAGTAAGCTCCAGGGGCACTAACCCATCATGTGGGCTCTACCCTCAGGGCCTCATCTAAACCTCCTGACTTCCCAAAGGTCCTGCCTCCTAATGTCATCCCCTTGGAGGTTAGGGTTTCAATATTTTGAATTTTGGCAGAACACAAACATGTAATCCATAACACTCAAATTTAAAACACTTGAAATATTTTGCCATGTTTACTTTATAAAAAAATATTTTAAAGTAAATTACAACCATCAGGATATTTCAGCTCCAAACACTTAAATAGGCGTGTCTAAATTAGGAGGACGCTTTCCTACATAACCATAATGTGTGTCATCAACATAACAAAGTTAATAAAAGTCCTTCTGTATTCTCTAATACACATTCCATGTTCACATTTCCTCTATTGTCTCCCAAGTGTTTCTTCAAGATCCAAGCTGAAGGCATGAATTGGATTCGGTTATTAGGATTTTTTAAAAGACATAAAAAAGACTTTAGTTTTTAAAATAGTTTTAGGTTCATAGCAACCTGGAACATACAGAGACTTCCTATATAGACCCTTCCCTCAAAGGGCACCCTCTCCCCTATTGTCAAATCCTGTGATAGGGTGATATGTTTGTTATAGTGGATGAATCCACATTAACACATCAGTGTCACCCAAAGTCCAGAGGTAGGTTTCACTCTTCGTGTTGTCCATTCTATTGGTTTTGACAAATGCATAATGGCTTGTATCCACTATTACAAAATCTCACAAAATAGTTACATTAGCCTCAAAGTCCTCTGTGCTCTGGGTTATTAAGACTTCATTCTAACTTTGATTCTTTCTAAATTCTAAATCTAGAATAGAACCTGTTCCTCTCTACCCTTTTTATCTTGACATTGCCTTGCTGTGGGAACTCGGCCAGTTACTGTCCTGTACCATTCACGCTTTGTTGAATTGTTTTCTTCTGGTCCTTTTTGCCTTCATCTTCTAGCTCTTACATTGGATCTTTGCCAAAAGGCCAAGAAGCAATTCCTCTAACTCTTACAGTTTTTGTCAACTGGAAATGAAATCCGAAGGCTTAATTGGGTTCAAGTTAAACATTTGGGGGAAAAATACTTTATAGTTGCTCTTGTACAGATTAATACTTTGTAGTATTCTTTATAGGAGATCTGGTCTGTTTCACAGTGCATCGTGTAGTGAAGTCGATAAAATATGGTAGGGATAAATTGAGTAAAGGTGACCGCCTATAAAGTAATATTGAAAAGTAATATTTTCTCCCTTGTGAGAGCAGTTGACTAGTAGACTGATATTTTGAAATCATGCCCATATATCTGGTTTCCTTAGCATTCTTGTTTAAGTCAGTTGTTTTATTAGGATTTGCAAAGTGGTTATTTTTCTAATTATTTCAGCATTTATTGTGGGCTGCCATTCTTTTTATTTTTTGTGTGAGACTGAGTCTCACTCTGTCACCCAGACTAGATTACAATGGTATAATCACAGCTCACTGCAACCCCCAACTCCTAGGTTCAAGTGATCCTCTTGGCTCAGTCTCCAAGTAGCTAGGACTACAGGTGTGCTAATTCTTTTTACTTCTTGTAGCGAAAGGGTCTCACTTGCCCAGGCTGGTCTCCAGCTCCTGGCCTTAAGCAGTCCTCCTGCCTTGGCCACCAAAAGGCAGAGCCACCCCACCAAGCCATATCTTTTGTAAAAGTGAGCTTTTGTGCATCAATTAAGACTATTTGCTTATTCTGAAATGCAGTTCTTGGGGGAAGGGAATAAATGATTATTTCCTTTCATTACCAGTTTTCAGAGTAAGTCTCTTTGGTGGTTCTGGGCCTGTTTGCTCTTAGCGTTCATTTCCCTTCCCTATCTGGGAGGGCATCCAGGGGGAGGGCAAAGTTGAGCCCTACAAATCCTTTACCTTGTCTTCTGTCTACCCAGATTGGAAGACTGAGGAGGAGAAAGGTTGGAGCCAGAGTATTCCCCTCCCCAATCTACTCCTGGACTTCTAGAATTTAATAATATTATTCCTTTTTCATTTTATGGATTTATTTTTCAATTTATGGGAAATAATACTGATTTTTTATGAAGTTGATACCAACTTTTCTTATACAATAAATTTAAATAATAACTGTGACTCTTCCAGAGAGTACCCAGATGAGGTAAAAATTATAAGGGTGGTCTGTGGACTAAAGATTGGGAAACTACTTCAAGTGAGATTGAGTGGAAATCAGGACAGTGGAAATGGGATTGAGCAGAGGGACGGGAAATGAGTTATTAGGAAGGCTGAATAGATTTACTGGCAAATTAAATGCAGAAGAATTAGAAAAAATCTCGGATGTTGCCCAGTGTCCTGGGCTCAGTGATTGGATATGAGATGGTTCACTGACATAGGGGATGCCGGAGAGGTGTATTTTCATATCTATTACTTGTGAAGAATCAGGTTCAAATAGTGAGTAGAAAACATAGATACTAAGTCAAAACTTTTATGTGTTTTTACAACCATCTTAAAAAGTACAGATTTAATCAGTTGAACAAGGTAACATGCCACAGTACATTTTGGATAATGAACTGAAGCAGAGTGAAAGTAGTTTGGGGGGTGAAAATTCACTAATGATCCATCTCACTCCATTATAACACTGTGTGAAGAAGGTGCTCAATAAGAATCCGTGAACTCGAGAACGAGAAGAGAAATCACTCTTCTGTTACCGTGCCTGGTGATGTCTCTCATTAATGCCTGTTTCCTACAGCACGACTTTGCCGTCTCTTTGATCTCAAGGATTATTCGTTGAGTAACAGAGTTGCAAAGCTCCACTTCATAAAATATTTTAAAAACCTGATAGGATAGTTACAACTAGTGATTTGATTATTATTTTTTTTTACAATTTATCATCAAAGAGTAGATTTGGGGGGTTTAATTAAACACCTCTATTTAGAGTCCATTTTCATAACCTAAATCAGAATTTAACAACTGCCTTCACATTTTTTGTAGAATGGCTTTAAGTGTCATTGTATGTCCGAATCTCATCAGAGGCAACTCTTGCTGGCTTCAGAAAATCCTCAGCAGTTTATGGATTATTTTTCAGAGTAAGTAACTCAGGGAGCTCCTTATCCCATAAGCTTTATTCAGTTGGATGTTTAATAGATGGTTAATATTTTATTTGAGGTTCTATTATTTCTTATATATTAACATGATAACTATATTCTCTGTGTGTTCAGTTTTTATCTTGTGAATTTTTCGTAGTATGAAATTGTTATAAAACAGTTTCTCACAGTGTAGTTCTTTCTTTCATCCACTTAAAACATACGAGACTTTTCTTTCTGCTAATCCACTTGTGACTAATACAGGGGCCCTGCAGGCAGACTCCCCAAAGTCAAGCCCCTTTCCCCTGTGTGCCTCTGGATGATCTTCTTAGCTTTTCTGTTCTTTGGCTGCTCATCTGTAAAATGGCACTAAAATAGCAACCTCTTCCCAGTATTCTTGATTCTCTGTAGGGCTTATATAAAGAATCATTGAGTTAATACTTTTCTTTTTGAGATGGGTTTTCATGCTCTTGGCCTCAAGTGATCCTCCTGCCTCAGCCTCCTGAGTAGCTAGAACTATAGGCGGCTGCCACCATGTCTCAATCTTGCTCAGGTTGTTCTCAAACTCCTGAGCTCAAGAGATCTCTCACCTGGGCCTCCCAGAGTGCTAGGATTATGGTGAGCCACTGTGCCCAGCACTCTTAAAAATTACTGGAGACCCCAAAGAGCTTCTGTTCATGATAGTTATATGTGTCAGAACTTAGAAATCAAAACTAATTTTAAAAAAAGTCAAAACTGAGACATTTTAAAATATATATTTATTAGTTAATTTTAAACACAGCAGTACACTTATGTGTTAAAATTTTTAAATGAAAAGTAATTACATTTTCCAAATAAAAAACATGCTTTGTTTTTACATTTTTATGAATCTCCTTAATGTCTTACTTGATAGAAAACAATTGGATTCTCACATCTCTCTCTACACTTGGTGGCTGAAAAGCTTTGACTGATGCACAGAAGGAAAATCTAGCCTTTACATGCATGTGTAGATGGGCGGGGACAGTATTTCATAAGCTTTCCAGATAAGTTTGGATATTATTGTTTAATACTGTATCAAAACACAGTGTTTGGCAGTTTCTTAAAGATTAGCTACAATGTGGAATTTGAAACCAGGTCAGTGAACCTTCTGTGCTGTTCCATGAAAATCTGTGGGTCACATTCTACTCTGAGTGGATCTTAGACCCAGGCACAGTTTTATAACATCGTGCACTGATTGAAATATACTCTTACTGAATTTCACAGATCTTCCAAATGGTGACCCTTTTTACCCATGTTATTATATCATATTCACTAACATCAGTACTGATGCCATCAGAAACATCTTTAAACATTGGGAAGCTTGTCAGACTCTCAGTGGCTGATAGTACTGTGCAGGCTCAGATTTCATCATTGGCAACAGCTACTGTCAGTTGTCTTCCCTAATGTGACAGGCTCACTCTAATTTTCAGAAAATGTATGCCAATACCCACTGCAGTAATGACAGTCTGTATGTCACTTGTTCTTTCACATCAAGACAGTGTTCCATGAAGAAGACGTTTCAGCTCCCAGTTCAGGCACTCAGGTGCTCTTCTCTGGACATGTTGTACAGCAACAGAAGTGATTTGTTCATAATTCTCATTTCCCCACACTGAATGTTAGAAAGACATGTACTTGAGGGTTGGGTAATTCTTACTGCAGGTGCATAGTGGTGGGAGCACACTGGTTACCAGTGAGGTGTAGTATTGGTGGCCTCTGCCCTGAGTTGTGTGAGCTGCCAGCAGGCTCACCTCCTTCAGTACAAGCACCAGTGACAGTGGCAAACATCGTTTACCTATGCACCACCTAAAACCATTGGGAATACAGGGGGTTGCGTAAGCTACACGTTTAAATGTGACGCATAATCTGTAAGTCATACAGTGGGAAACCCTATTCTGGCAAGAGCTGTCTAGACCCTCTGCCTCCCACTGCGTCCACTGGCTTCCACCCCTCCTGAGAGTGACTCACACCTTTCCACCTTCATCTTCCTTGAGCTTCTTCACAGGACAACGCCCTGAGCTGTCCTGCTCCGTTCTGTGCTGGCTTTCCCACTCCTGAGGCTTTCCTCCCTCTGTGGTCTTCATGCCTTCGCACTTTCTTCCTTCCTCACCTCCTGTGCTCTGAGCTCCTGGAATGGAGGGAGTCCTTCACGGTGCTCACTCAACTGCTTTTCATCCCAATCCACACAGTCGCCACAGGTCCCATTGTTCTTTTAACCATTACATTTATGTTTGGACAGAGACGCCTCATCTTGCTGTTCATTCCTAATACCAGTTTTGAGTTACAAATTCCCACCCCTACCCCCTACTCTCCCCAGGATAATTCTAACCTGTGTTTCGAAGGCCATCTCAAAGTAACATTTTTAAAGCTGAACTCGTACGCTCCCTACCACACCTGCTTCTTGTCCAGTGTTGGCTGATAGCCATCTACCCAGACTCCTGGCACAAACCTCGAGTTCTCTTGGAATTCCCTCTTGTCACTTCTCCATAGAATGTCCTTCAAAAGTACATCCTTTCCATTCTCACTGCCAGAGTAATAGCTCTCAGCATCCTTCACCTCGAGTACGTCAGTGACTTTCTCCTGGTCTCCCAACCTGCGGCCTCGGCCCCTCCTGTACGCACTTTGTACCTTCCTGGCATTCGAAGCGCCTGGGGCTTGCTCACAGGGTGCAGGCCCCGCACCTGCTGTCTGAGACGGGGGTCTAGAGTTTGCACTTCTGTCAGCTTCTCGGGGGATGCTGATGCTACTGCCGTGGGGGCCACAACCTAAAAACCATTGTGCTCTCCTGTCCACCAGGGTTCTCTTCTAAATCACAGATTTTAACACGTTACTTTCCAAATAAAGTTAAAACTCATGTTTTGCATGACATTTAAGTTAGCACTTCCAAAATAAGCGCAAACCGTATTTTCACTTTCCACCCACACCTTCCCCTTGATTCTGTGCTACCCTTTCTCACCCTCATTTCTATCTGCCCTAAACTTTAGCCAAATTAGGTTGAGTGTCATTTTTCAAATGTGATGCTTTCACGTCCTGTGCCAGCTGAAAATGGCCTTCTCTGCCAGTTCACTTATACAAGTTTTATTTATATTTCACTGCCCATATTAAAATCATCTCTGGGCATCTCCTTAACTCTTTCTGCAACATTTTGTTGCATTTCTTTTCAATTTAACCTCCCGATATGATTAGTTCTGCTAGATTGTAACCTCCTTGAAGGTCTCAGTTTATGTTGTACTCACTTATGTTTATCCAGCTCAGAAGGACACATTAAATGACAGTTTCATGTGGAAAGGCAATTTTGTTATATAGGTAGAAGGGGGCTATAATGCCATGTTTGGCAGCATTAACAGATACCATGAAGGAGGCCAGGTGCAGTGGCTCACACCTGTAATCTCAACACTGTTAGAGGCCAAAGCAGGAAGATCACTTAAAGCCAGGAATTCAAGACTACACTGGGCAACACAGCAAAACCCCATTTCTACAAAAAGTGAAAATAATACAGGCATAGTGGCATGTGCCTGTGGTCCCAGCTGCTCTGAATGCTGAGGTGGAAAGATTATTTAAGTCCAGGAGTTCAAGGTTATAGGGAGCTATGATCTTATCACTGTACTCCAGCCAGGGTGACAAAGCAAGACCCTATCTCAGAAAAAAAAAAAAAAAAAAACAGAGAGATATGAAGGATCCTCTCCAAATACATGTTGTAGCTTGCTATGGCTGCTTTACTAAGGTAAAAAGTTTCCACTCAAAACTAACTTTTAACCTTTAATCTTTTTTTTAAACTTTAATCCTTTAAAGGTATAATCAGTTTTTAAAGGTTCAACAGATATTCATACAGATGTTTTATATTTTATTTGGGCAGTAAAACTCTGTGGTTGCTTAAATTTCAGGAAGATGATGTTTAAACTTAATGGTCTCCTTTCTTTCTTTATAGGGAATTCCGAAACGACTTTCTAGAACTTCTCAGGAGACGTTTTGGTAAACATTTTAAATATTGTACACATAATAACTTTGTTACCTTACAGTCTTCTTAGGATCAACCGAGTGGTATTTTGTTCTTAGGCACTAAGAGAGTCCATAACAACATCGTGTACAATGAGTACATCAGCCACCGAGAGCACATCCATATGAACGCCACCCAGTGGGAGACTCTGACCGACTTCACCAAGTGGCTGGGCAGAGAAGGTGAGAAGCAGAGATTGTGTGAGTAGTTGTTATGTGGCTCCACTGATGGAAGAGAGAGAAGCACCATAATTTCTATCTAAATTCATGAAACAAAGGATGCAGGGCACTTGGAAACTGGAGGAGAGGAGCAAACCATTCCAGTATTGATATGTTTATATAATTGAGTGCAAACGTTTGGAATAGTTGTTTGGACAGTGATCTGTCACTGACACGATGGTCTCCATCCTCCCAACTCCCACATTTTTTACTCCAGTCTCAAGGTATTCTTTTTTTTTTTAAGTTGCCTTTTCTTTTCCCTTCTCTAATCTTAACAGGATGAGAAGTTTGAGGTATGAAAAAGGAGAAAAATTTACTTTATTCCATTTTAGAGGAGTAAGTTTTGTTTTATATTAACAGATACCATGTATTCATTGAATATTAAATACTTAGACAGGATTGATAAGGTACAGCTGTCCCTTGGTATCTGTGGGGAATAGGTTCTGGGACCTCCCACTGACAGCCAAGTTCCCAGATGCTCAAAGCCCTGCTGTAAATGACAGTTTCTGTGTGTAACCCACACGCATACTCCTGGATACTTAAATCATCTCTAAACAACTTACCTAATGTAAAAGGTATATGAATAGTTGTTATACTATTGTTTGGGGAATAATGATAAGAAAAAATGTCTGTACTAGTTTGTTACAGACAACAAAATCGATTTTTTCCCTGACATTTCCCATCTGCTGTTGGTTAAATAATCAGATGCAAAGCCCTGATGTGGTGGGTTCACTATACTTCTTTTGTATGTTTTCCTCGTTTAAGTGTGTTGCCTTGCTGGGACAGGGGCTTATAACTGTAATCCCAGCACTTTGGGAGACTGACGTGGGAGGATCACTTGAGCCCAGGAGTTCTAGGAGCTATGATGACGCTGCTGCACTCTAGCCTGAGCAACAGAGTAGGACTCTGTCTCTTCAAAACAAAAAGTTTAAAAAAGGCTCGGCGCCCGTAGCATGGTAGTTATGGCCCTGTCCAATTGCACTGAGGGTGGCAGGTTCGAACCTAGCCCAGGCCAGCTAAACAACAATGACAACTGCAACAAAAAATAGCTGAGCGTTGTGGTGGGCACCTATAGTCCCAGCTATGCAGGAGGCTGAGGCAAGAGAAACGCTTAAGCCCAAGACTTTGAGGTTGCTGTGAGCTGTGATACCACAGCACTCTCCCGAGGATGACATAGAGAGACTCTGTCTCAAAAAAAAAAAAAAATTTGCTGCAACCTAACCATTAAAAATCGATATAATAATATTTTCTGTTTTAAAAGATAAAGAAAATATCCCACTTGTATTATCTCAATTTCATCAAGTATAAACGTGAAAAACTTACATGCCACATGAATTTGTGTGTTTGAATACGTTTGTCTTTGAATGAATCAGTAAACAAATATTCAGAGATGGAACAGTTTATATTTACAGTTTGCTTTGGATCTATGCAAATTTGTGGTGTCTGTTGCTTTTTTTAAGGCCTGTGCAAAGTGGACGAGACACCAAAAGGGTGGTACATTCAGTACATAGACCGGGACCCAGAGACGATCCGTCGGCAGCTGGAGCTGGAGAGAAAGAAGAAACAAGATCTTGATGATGAAGAAAAAACTGCCAAATTTATTAAAGAGCAAGTGAGAAGAGGTCTGGAAGGGAAGGAACAGGTGGGCAGCAGATCCTCCAACACGAGAAGATCCAAAGACGGAAAGTTTGTTGTGTTTTCTTTCTTTTTTTTTAAGCATCGCATCAAGTTTTTATAGACAGTGTTCGTAACTAAGAGAAGGCATTGCTGTGGTGTCAAAGCACAGGGTTAGAGTTGTTCTGGAGTTAAGGCACACGCCCTTCAGTTCCTGACATGCTAACTTCAGCGCTTGTGTAGTTACGTAGTATAACCTTTCTGGACCTCGGTGTCCTTGTCTCTAAATAGGGACACCACCTAATGGGACGATATGTAAACGTAATTTCCACTGATTGTAATTACAGCAATGCTGGAGGTAAATCGACGGTGTAGGGCCAGCCAGGCCAACACTTACCCAGCCGAGGGGGGATGAAGAATATTTGAAGGTACAGACAGCCCCTTAGCTGAGGGGAATGGGCAGAAACCAGGGGAGGCAAGGAGTTCAAGGGTGAGAATAACTAGGTCAAGGCGTTTATTTAAAAAAATTTGTCAGCGCTTCCTGTGTGCCAGGACTTTTCTAGGCACTGGGAACACACAGTGACAGAAAGATACAGAAAGTTCTAGCCGTTGTATGTAAGCAAGAAAATATAGCCTGTGTGTATGCAAAACTACTGTCACAAAACTCTCGCATACATCAACTAAAGTATATGGAGTGCACTAACCTTACTTGTACACACAATTCAGAGAACTTTTTTTTTGAGACAGTCTCACTGTCACCCTGGGTAGAGTGTCATGGCATCATAGTTCACAGCAGCCTCAACCTCTTGGGCTCAAGTGATCCTCCTACCTCAAACTTCTAAGTAGCCGGGACTCCAGGGGCCCACCAAGATGCCCTGCTATTTTTTTTCTATTTTTAGTAGAGACAGGGGCTCGTTCTTGCTCAAGTTGGTCTTGAACTCCTAAACTCAAGTGATCCACCTGCCTCGGCCTCCCAGAGAGCTAGGATTATAGGTGTGAGGCACCACGCCCAACCTGAACTTTTACAAATATGTGTGTGATGGGGAGGAGAGAGTGAGTCAGTGCAAGTACACGCACCTGTGTAACCGCCACCCAGCTAGAGGTACAGAAGATTTCCTTCCCTCACGCTCATCTTCAGTTAATACCTCTGCCTCAGAAGTAACCACTGCTCCAGATCCACTAGTGATTATCGATTAGTTTCATCTCTTCTTGACCTTCATATAAACGTGCTCTTTTTTGTGTCTGGTCCTGCAACTCCAGGCAGAGTGTGTGTATGATTCCTGTGTGTTCTTCACTGTTGGTGTTTCATTCTTTTTTTAAATTGATGTATCATATCCCACTTTTGGAATGTGACAATGTATTCATCCTCTGCCGAGGCAGCTCTCAGCCGTTGGCTGTTAGGAAGACAGCGGCTGTGACTGTTACTGTGCCCATCCTGTTTCAGCACTCAGTGTGAGGAGTGAGGCTGGGAGTAGCAGCAGTAAGGGTAGCGACATGGGTAAGCACCAAGCTGGGATCAGCATTGTGCCACGTTCATTAAACTTCCTGATACGTGAGGCAGTGGGTGTGTGCATGTGTGTATGTTATGGCATTACATTCATATACACACATTTTTAAAGGAGTTTTTTACAGTAAATTAAGACGGGAACAGTGGTTAAAACTGCTGCAATTATAAAATTTAAGCCCTGGCTTAAAATTGAAAGCTGTTCTTGAAAATCTCTCATCTTTTAAAAATTTAAACCTCTCTATTCAATAGAGGAAATATAATTCCTTATTATGGGAATTAAGAAAGATTACATCATGTACAGAGGAAACTAGTTTACTTTTTGAAATAACATTGTTTGGTAATGTTATAACTTAACATTATAAGACCTTCACATTATTTTGTTATACTATTCAGGAATATTTATACCCTGCCTTTTACTGTCTTACCAGTATCTACCCTAAAAGGCAGGGGCAACCCGACTATTCAGTGTGTCATTCTAGGTCTCAAAATATCAATTATTTTAAATTAGTGTTATCTTCTTTTACCTTGCTGTGTGAAATACTACTTGGTTGTTACCTAAGAAAAGATTATTTTAGCTAGATCTCTCAAGAATTTTTTTTTCATTTTGAGACAGAGTCTCACTCTGTTGCCCAGGCTAGAGTACCATGGCTGCAGCCTGGCTCACAGCAACTTCAAACTCCTGGGCTGAAAAGATCCTCCTGCCTCAGCCTCCCAAGTAGCTGGGACTATAGGTGTCTGCCATGATGTGTGCCTAGTTTTTCCTATTTTTAGTAGAGATGGGTTCTCATTCTTTCTCAGGCTGGTCTCTAACTCCTGAGCTCAGGTCATCCTCCCACCTCAGCCTCCCAGAGTGAGCCACAGTGCCCAGTGAAGAACATTTTTTTATTAGTAGAAATTACAACTAGTATTTAAGAAACACTTAGTATGACAGGTGCCTATGCTAAGTGTTTTCTCTTTATTGTCCCATTTACTTCTTATAAGAACTCTAAGCATATCCATTATCCCAGTTTAAAGAAAGAATAACTGAGGCTTTTAGGGAGATGATGAGGCTGACGGATTACAAAGCCAAAGGGCTACAGGATGGATTTCATACATGTGATTTTATTCGAGTCTATTCTTTTTTTTTTTTTTTGAGACAGAGCCTCAAGCTGTCCCCCTGGGTAGAGTGCCGTGGCATCACAGCTCACAGCAACCTCCAACTCCTGGGCTCAAGCGAGTCTCCTGCCTCCGCCTCCCAAGTAGCTGGGACCACAGGCACCTGCCACAACGCCCGGCTATTTTTTGGTTGCAGCCGTCATTGTTGTTTGGCAGGTCCAGGCTGGATTCGAACCCGCCACCTTAGGTGTACGTGGCTGGCACCTTAGCCAGTTGAGCTATAGGCGCCGAGCCATTCGAGTCTATTCTAAGGCTCATAATTATTGCACTAAATCATACCATCATATGGAAAGATTTTGCTAATGCTCTGGATAAGATTCCTGAACTTTATGGCCTTATGTTTTGTTGTTGTTTCCTCTTTAAGTTGCAGCAGAAATAAAAAGGTGGGTAAACTATAGTTTGATATGGAAATCTGCTTTTCTGCCCTTTAGAATAATTATCAAGTGGAGAATATTTGCAAAGCATCTAATTAGGATATTAATCATTAAGAACTGCATCTGGGAACTGCCTTGCAACACAGGTAGCATGCCATAATTTAGGCCTATTAAATTTTGATAGCAAATACACAGTGAATCAAAACTTTCAACCTTTTTGTTTTTTAGGAGGTCCCTGTGTTCACGGAATTAAGCAGAGAAAATGATGAAGAGAAAGGTAGTTTTAACTTTCCTTTTTTGTGTGTGTATTGGCTTTGCTAAAACTAGCAATATGTCAACATGTCTGGTAACAAGACATCTGTCTGGGTTGGATTATTCTTATCCATAAAATGGAAAGGAATACTAATGAATCAGATGCACTACTGTTAGCCAAGTAACAAAACTGACTACCGTTAGCCTACATAGTAAGGAAATATCTTGCCATAATAAGAATCCCAGAAGTAAGGTAGTGCTCTATGCTGTATGGACACAAGGTAGCTGCCAACACTCCAGCCATCACAATCAGAATCAGCACAGAGAATGGCAGGGAGCATCTTTTCTGGAGTCACTATAGGATTAGGGAAACTTTTCCTGGGATACGATCCTGCCACCAGGCTTCCTTTTGAATATCATTGGCCAGATTTGTGTCACATATCCACCTTAAAAGCAGTCATGGGTTGATTGGTTTAATCAACCAGAATTTACCCTAGAGATGAAGGTGATGTTGTGTCCACTAAGCAACAGGCAAGAGATATGGATAAACCAACTTGGAGTACTGTTAGCCAGGGAAAGGGGGATGAGTGGGGAAGCAGGCAGTGTAGTCTGCCGAGATGTGGATAAACCAACTTGGAGTACTGTTAGCCAGGGAA